AACCCACGGAGCGCGAGATCGTGACCTGGCTGAAGTCGGACGCTTAACTGACTGTGCCACCCAGGCGCCCCATATCATGTTTCAGATTTAAAGAACATTATTCCCAACAGCCAAACCACAAAGGCATTATTTTTAATTCCAGGAGTCATAATTTATTAAAGATACCAATAAACCTGAGCATCGTTTTCAAACCTGTGTTGTTTTCTTTTTTAACCTCACTCAGCATAAGTTAAATGAAATTATTCTCTCAATTAAGGGATGGGGGCAGATGGCATTTGAAATTGTCTCCTGTGTGTTAGGGAACAGGGCAGGTTGTACAGAGGGTAGAAGGAGGTGGTGACTATACTTTCTGGGAATTTTTGAGAATATATCAGAAGCATGGGCAGAAATGTGAGAACAGTGAAGCATATACGGTAAAACTATGAAGAAGTATTTCTTCACCCATCTAGACATTATCTGAATTAGCCCAGTTGTCATGATATATATGTCATCACTAATTAATTGTATCCCTTCCTGCGAAGGAGAAATATCTATCCCACTCATACGCCCAGTGTCTTTGTTGCATAGTCTCTCATATATAGTTGTTTGTAATCATTGAGCAATACAATGCAAGCCAGTTCCTCAGGAAAATTACAAGTCTTTTAAAGGTGCAATATTTTGTGAAGTATTTCAAAGAGATGTTGGAAAACTGCTTGAAATACAAGAAAAACCAGTTGACTTCTGACCAGTCAGTCTAATTAACATTTATGTGAAAAATATTAACAAGGGTGGTGAGACACTGGTAGTAATTTAGAAGACATGAATTTTATCATCAAGAGATTAAGATTTGGTCTTTGAAGGAAAGTTTTGAGCTGTTGGTACTATATATAATTCCATTATATAAATGTAAGTTGAGCTTTAAATAATGCGAGGGTTACTGGTGCTAATCCCTCTGCATTCAAAAAACCAGGTATGGGGGTGCATGGGTGGCTCCATTGGTAAATGTCCAACTCTTGATTTCAGCTCAGGCTGTGGCCTCATGATTCGTGAGATCAAACCCTGCATTGAGGCTCTGTGCTGACAGTGTGGAGCCTGCTTGGGATTCTCTCTCTTCCTCTCTCTTTGTCCATACCTTGGCTTGTGTGTGCGTGCTTTCTCCCCTGCCTTCTCAAAAAAAAAAAAGAAAATCCATGTATAACTTTTGACCCACATAAAACTTAGCTACTAATAGATTCCTGTTGACTGAAAGTCATATTTGGTTTACACATATCTAATATATGTATTATATACTATATTTTTACAATAAAGTAAGCTAGAGAGAAGAAAATGTTATTAAGACATAAGGAAGAAAAAACACATTTACAGTCTTGTACTGGATTTATATTAAAAAAACATAATTAGGTGGACCCACACAATTCAAACCCATGTTGTTCAAGTGTCAACTGTATATCCATTGTCTCAGTTGTATCTTTCATAACTGATTATGAAACATTCATATTTCTGTTGTTTGTTTTTTGTCTATTTTTTGAAGTTTATTTATTTATTTTGAGAGAGAGAGAGAGAGAGAGAAGAAAGGGCAGAGAGAGAGTGAGAGAGAGAATCCCAAGCAGGCTCTGAGCACTTCAGCACAGAGCCCAATGTGGGGCTTGAACTTACAAATCATGAGATCATGACCTGAGCCAAAATCAAGAGTTGGTCACTTAACTGACTGAACCACCCAGGCACCCCTGTTTGTTTGTTTGTTTGTTTGTTTGTTTGTTTGTTTTAATCTATTTTTAAATTATGTAGTGTGTGTCTTACTGATTTGTACAAGTTCTTGGTATTTGGGGGGGGGTAGTGAATTTTTGTCATTCATAGGTGTTGGGTGTGTATTTTCTCGAAGTGTGGCTTATCTTTGTTATCTTTTTGTTTTGTTAGTTTTGTTTTGCTTGGTTTTTATCCTCAAGTTCCAGTCAGTGTTCACGTTTCCTCAATTGTCATGTCTCTCACACACACACACACACACACACACGCACAGCATATCAACTTCATTATTGCTGTTATATGAAATAATGTTGATTTACGTATTTCTATTGGATGTATGCCTAGAAACAGAACTGGTAAGTCATAGGTGTATGTGTGTAATCAGTTTTTAATAGATACTGCAAAATAATTTTCCATATTTATATTCCTACCAGTAATATTTTGAGAGTTTAGTGTCTCCACATCTTTGCTAATACTTGATATTGTCACATTTAAAAACTCTTTTAAAATTTGTCATGTTCTTTTTCATTGAGTTTCAAATTTCACTTAATTATGTTTTATTTCTTGGAGTTCTGTTTGATTCTTCTTCAGATATATTTGCTCTTTATTCATTTTCAAACCGTCTTTAATTCTTGAAACATACCAACCATATTTATTTTATTTTCTGAGTATTACTTCCAGTATCTGCAGTTTTTCAAGCCCAGTTCTCATTTCTGGTCTTTTCTGTAGCTTCTTGCTATCTGATAATGAGAGTGTTCTCCAGTTTTGTGTTTCTCAGTGTATGAAATAGAGGGTAAATGGGAATCATAGAATAATTTTATGATGTATTAAGCTGCTTAGGCATTATCCAGATGTGTGCTATATAATACAGTAATCAGTAGCCACATGTGTATATTTAATTTTAAATTTAAGTTAATCAAGTAAAATTAAAATTCGTTTCTTTTCATAGCCATATATCAAGTTCTCAAGAGCCACTGTGGCTAGTGACTTTTATTGGATAGCACAGAATAGAATATATCTATTATTAGATTTTTTTGGGGTAGCACTGCTTTAGACAGTTCTGACCATTTGTAGTATGTTAAAAAAGAGTATCATATCTCTTTGTGACTCTCTTTTTAAAGTTTTTAAAAAAAAATTTTTTTATTTTTGAGAGAGAGAGGGTGGGTGAGGGGCAGAGAGAGAGAGAGAGAGACCCAGAATCCAAAGCAGGCTCCAGGCTCTGAGCTGTCAGCACAGAGCCTGATGTGACTCTTTTTTTAAAGATAGATTGCTTTTAAGCTAGATGAAGGTTAGTTTTAAGGTAGATAGTGCAAGGGGATTAAATAAGAAGTTATATTTCTCTTTAGGATAAACATGAAGCATTGCTGAAGTTGAAGAGTATTACTGGAAATGGAGAGGTGAACAGTTGGCAACCCATTAGAATGTAAGATCATTGGTATCTTAGTGGGAAGTCAGGTGAGGGAGGAAAGTGGAATCATGAGTCCTCATATGACTGTGAGGATCCTAGCTCATGTGCTTTGATGCCTATAGTAACAACTCATATAGAGAATTCAGGAGAAAAGGGGTAAAAATACTAGAGAAAATAGATTGGAATACCCAGTAAGTTCATATTTAAAAAGTTGGAATTTTAGGTACCTTGTGGAAAAGGGAGATGACTTAACTTGTTAGAAATATTGTAGAATCCATCTCCGGTCAGTACAGGGAATTCTCTAACAATCACATTTGTCCAGAGTAGCAGTTAGCTGCCTTTGGAGATGGTGAATTTTCTTATATCCTTTGGTATGTGATCATGTGGTGTGAAATTATTTTGCTAGCTTTTGAGAAGTTCCAGGTGTTATTAGATCATCTTTACTGTCTGTACCTTTGGGATTTATGATGAGCAGTTTTGATAATATCCAGTCCCTACTGTATCTTCATTTTTCATTAATTAAAATTTGTTTTGTTTCTTTTAATATGTTATAAAATTGGACAGAATTGTTCATTCAAGTTTAATTATTGTAAAGTGTACATCTCTTGTTACCAGTGACAACATAAAATTCTCAGTTTAACTAAATTTGAACAACTGCAGGTTTTTGGTGTAAAATTTTTAAAGAAAGATATTTAGGAAATGCGTTTGATAAACTTTCTAATGATAAACTTTAGTTAAATATTAGTGTGACCTGTGGGATCTGTGGTACTTTGTGTAGTGTAAGACGACTTGCAGACCATCAAATCTTAACAAATTTGACGGGACACGTTTTAAAAATTATTTTTTTTTTAATTTTTTTTTTTTTTTAATGTTTAAGTAATCTCTGCATCCAACGTAAGGCTTGAACTCAGAACCCCAAAATCAAGAGTCGCATGCTGTGCTGACTGAGCCAGCCAGGTGCCCCTGTGGACACATTATATTTAGAAAACAGGAGTGGTGCCTGGTTGGCCCAGTTGGTTAAGCATCTGACTTCGGCTCAGGTCATGATCTTGCAGTTTGGAAGTTTGACCCCTACTTTGGGCTCTGTGCTGACTGCTCAGAGTCTGGAGCCTGCTTCAGATTCTGTGTCTCCCCCTCTGCCCCTCCCCTGCTCATATTCTCTCTCTCGTTCTCACTCTCTCTCTCTCTCTCTCTCTCTCAAAAATAAATAAACATTTAAAAAATCCTTACAGAAAACACGAGGGGTGCCTTGATGGCTCAGTTGGTTAAGGCCAACTTTGGCTCAGGTCATGGTCTCGTGGTTAGTGGGTTCAAACCCTGTGCTGAGTGCTCAGAGCCCGGAGCCTGCTTCGGATTCTGTGTGTGTCTCTGCCTCTCTCCCGCTCGCACTGTCTCTCTGTCTCTCACTGTCTCTGTCTCTCTCTCAAAAATAAACAAACATTAAAAAAATTTAAAAGGGGGCGCCTGGGTGGCGCAGTCGGTTAAGCGTCCGACTTCAGCCAGGTCACGATCTCGCGGTCCGTGAGTTCGAGCCCCGCGTCAGGCTCTGGGCTGATGGCTCAGAGCCTGGAGCCTGTTTCCGATTCTGTGTCTCCCTCTCTCTCTGCCCCTCCCCCCGTTCATGCTCTGTCTCTCTCTGTCCCAAAAATAATAAACGTTGAAAAAAAAATTAAAAAAAAAAATTTAAAAGAAAATAGGAAGATGTACTGGAATGTTAAATGTGAAGGATATACTTATGTAACATATTATATATATACATATGTGGATATTATGTATGGCTATATCCAATGTAGTAATAAGTACAAATGTGAAGAGTGATTTTTTTCAGCACAAGTATAAAATTGTTCCTTTTTTCTACTCCCCTTTTTAGGATGTGTTTAGCTTTCAAATATCTCCTAATATGAATCCTATCAAAATAAATGAACTGGCAATCCAAAAACGTTTGACTATTCATGGGAAAGAAGATGAAGTTAGCCCGTATGACTATGTGTTACAAGTCAGTGGGCGAGTAGAATATGTGTTTGGTGATCACCCACTAATTCAGTTCCAGGTATGTGTATTCACCGTCAGTTTACCAGAGATGTGTGTGTGTGTGTGTGCATTTAGTAATTTAAATTTCTGATAAAAATGTGTTGTCACATTTAGAGTATTTAGAACCTATAGAAAATTATACAGAATTAAATAATAGATATTCATAATCCTACCTACCTCTGAGATAACCATTGTTAACATTTTGGCATGTTTTTGTCATTTTACTTAAGGTTATATATATTTTTGGTATAATGATTGTATATTCAATGTTTGTTTCTAAATGTTTGCTTTCTACTTTTTTGGTTGTTTCAGTGTTATAGTTTCCTGTAGCATTATGAATTCTTAATAAAATTTGCTATAGCTGCCTACTTTTTTATCATGTAAACATAATGATTTATTATTTTTTTAAGAGAAAGGCTTAAAACATTTTTTTAATGTTTATTTTTGAGAGAGAGAGAGACAAAGTGTGAGTGGGGGAGGGGCAGAGAGAGAGGGAGACAGAGAATCTGAAGCAGGCTCTCAGCTCTGAGCTGTCAGCAAAGAGCCTGATGTGGGGCTCGAACTCACAAACTGTGAGATCATGACTTGAGCTAAAGTCAGAAGCTTAGCTGACTGAGCCACCCAGAAACCCCAACATGATGATTTAGATAGAAAATATTCTGCGGGAAGTAAAAAACAAGATATTTTGATTAAATGGTCACTAAATAAATTGTATAAAAACTTATAAATTTTCATTGTGAATAGAAAACTTTTCAGTTTCTTTTATAGGTTATATATATATTTATATATATAATTATTATATGTATAATATGTAAAATTGCCCTCCCCTCCCTTATTTGTTTCTTCCACATATGGTAGGAATTTTCTAAGGGTTAGGTCTGGACATCCTCAAAAGACTTCCTCTGTGTTTGACATTCCTATTTCCATGCAATCATGAATTGACTTATAGTGCCTCAGATTGTTTGTCGAATAAAATGAAGTTTAAATAAGATAAAAGCAGTGCAGTACTCCTCCCCCACCACTGTCCTTTTAAAGGATAGAATCATGGCTTTGACTTCAAGGAACTTGAAGATATTTTTGTTGCAATTGAATTTGGAGACTAAAAAATGGTCATTACATAAAGAATAATGCTAAATGCCAAGTTAGGGGTAAATAGTAACAGGATTTTATAAAGATATGTGTTTATTCTTATTTGTGATTTTTATTGTTTTGTTTTAAGCAAGAGGGATAGAGACATGCTAAACATTAAGTGATGTCTGTTTGAGAATAAGGAGCTTTGATATATTAGCAGCTAATAGAGGATTTTACACGTTTCTTTTCACATTTTTAGCATGGCCCTGAATTCTTGTGGTTTAGTAGGTAGAAGGTCTAGAAGCAGTTATAACTTCTCTGCTTTGAGAACTATGGCATTCTAACAGTCAACACTTGAACTCTAGCCCATGAGATGAAGAAGGAAGATGAAAAGTATTTGGTGGTAGCATAGGAGTGTTGACTTCTTTATGTTTTGCCATCCTTTAAGTAGCCTTCTGCTTCTTTAACACTTTTTTTTAAACTTTAATCAGTGGAGGGTATATTGTTCTATTCAAACTAGGATTTGTTATAAAGAGAAACAAAGGCTTGTATACGTTTTTGTACAGGGTCATAGTGAAAGAGAAAATATACCATGTACTCAAAGGAATGTGAAGGAGTGGAATGATAAATATTTCATAGTGAAAAATTTTTTATTGAATATATTTAGCATAATATCATCTAACTGCCAATTACAGACAATTCTGGAATTTTTTTTAATTTCAAAAAATTGTATTTCTTGGTTCTGAATTGAATACAATATGTTGAGTCATACTTTGTCTGTATATGAAATTTATTCTTCTGAGAAATACATTAGGTTTCTTTCTTCTCAGCTTGTTAGGAATCTTGGTAATGTGAATAACCACTCCTTTTCTTTCTTTTTTTTTTTTTC